TCTAAGCTAAAATTAATCTTTGTAGTAAATTACGCATAGGAATGTTGTTAACTCAAAATCACAATTTTGGTAGTTATACCCTTTTCTATTGTCCATGCCCCATATATAATAATAATAAAACTAAAACAATGAGGTTAGGTCACATTCCCGGAACACGATTGGACGGCATTCCAATAAATCCGTTTTATTTATTATTTTTAATAATTTTTTGCCATGAATATATTTAAAAAATCATTAAATAAATTTATTTTATTTAATAAATTTTCTTAATTTAAAAAATAATAAGTTCATTAAATTTAAAACTAAAATATTTAAGAAACAACAAATATATAAATTGATTAAAAATATAAATTGATTAAAATTTTAAAATTAATCAAAAATAGAAATGGACTCCATATTTCGTTTCAAAAACAAAAGATTTGAAACTAGATTTGATGATAGTCTATTTCTTTTAGGTGTTATGTGGTTTCCTACATCAGAAAACAATTTTTCGGAACTGAAGTTGCGCTTAAACACAAATACTTGTTTGCTAATATTGCAAGCATTGGCAATTCATTTTGTCTATCTTTCCACCAACCAAGCGGATCAACATTACCTGCTACATTTGACATATTTAAATATTTGGTTAATTCATCTTCTTCTTGTTGTTGTGGAACATCAAACAAATCATCAAATATAGTTTTTTGTAATGGATTTTGGTGAGTTAATGCAATTGTTGACCTTCTTGAAGTATTTGATAAATTTTCTTGGTTGGCATCTTTCAATGATTGGATGATATTAGATAGTATTTGATATGTTGCATCATGTCGTTCAGGTGCAAATCTTAAATCTTTAAATCTAGGATCTAAAGCTGAAGCCAGATAGCCAAGTGCTGATGTTTGCATTGACCAATAATTTAGCAAGGAATTATACAGAGCTTTAATGAATTTATCTTTTAAGTTAGCTGTATTTATGGGCACTGAAATTCTTAATCTCCTTTTATGTCTTTCACCATTTGATAATTCTTCAAGGATTTCTATTTCTTCTGTATTACCTACATATGGTTAATTTGAATTTCATGCATACAAATTTAAAATCACAACAACTCACACAACAATGTGTATAAAATATATTTATTTAATCACCTTCTGTTTCCATAAAAGCATTATCAATACTTTCATCAACATCATTGTCATCATTATCATCATTATTTAGTCCAACAAAAATTTCATTACTATTGGCAGGTGGTATGAATTCGTCAAAAGATTCAAAATCATCATTATTATCTGAAATTTGTGATTGGAGTTTTTAATTAAGTGTGATATGGTAGGATAGACTAAAGATAATGTTACAAAGCTATGTTGTTGTTATATCATTAAAGTCTTTTAATATCAACACTAATTCTTTAATTAATGTCTATTCTTGATGATTCAGCATGATTTTCTTCAATCTTTTAGCATCATACTTAGTATCTCTATCACTTTCAAATTGCATTCTATTGATCAATTCTTTAATGGTGTCACCGGAATGCGAATTGGACCTTAATTTGCTGATCAATAATCCCGAAAATCCGGAGTAATATTTTATATCTTATTTTTATATTATCTATATTATTTATTTACTATTTTTAGTTATTTATTATTTATTTTTAGTTATTTATTTCATCTATTATTTATTTTTAATTTTATTTTATCCTATTTTTATTTTGTAATAATTTCCGAATGATTCAATTTAATTATATGAGTTCGTGTTACATTCCGCAGAAGTAATTAATTAGTAACACGTTCGCATTAGACCTTTATTTAGAAGAAATTAATGAAGATTATCCTGAATCAGGATATATATCTTAGATTAGGAGAATTATCCTGTGTACAAAGAAGGATAATTATCCTGGAAAGAGAGAATTATCCTAACTTAGGAGAATTATCTTGAATTAGGATAAATATCTTAATCTAGGCTAATTATCCTAAACTAGGATACATATAATCAAACATGTATATAAGGAATGAGAATTCGCTGTAATTGAAGAATAACTTTGTAACAAATTAACTTAATAATTAGTTAATAATTAGTTTCGACTAATACAAAATTAAATAAATCATTTTTATCAAATCACTACTAAAACAAAATTATTCACTAATAAATCTAATTTGTTAGTATTAGCCTATTCATTCTGATCCATATAAATTAATAAAAATCTGTTATCATCAATTAAAACACACTCTCCCAAAATTAATTGGTGACACTATCTTATGATGCTAAAATGACCTTAATAGAATTGTTTTTCATAAATAATTAGGCCTTTAAAGTCAAAAAAGTATGGGTCTCTTTGGGAAGCTATTGCGCTATAACAAAACAAGCTATTGACAAGTAAAAAATTGAATTTAAACAAACAAAAGCACAAGATTCTATTTATTTAGAAGCATAAAAATTGTTTATTTATAATCTTGTATAGTGTTGTTAATGGTCTGGTTTGGTCCGACTTGAGGCTAAAGTCAAGCCAAACTGTTCAAAAGTCTAAGTCAAACTGAACTGAACTGACCAACTTGGCAGCACAAGTCAAACCAAACTGGACCAAACTGTCAAGCTGATGGAGCTGATGGAACCAATGGGGTTGATTGGGTCAAACCAAACCGAAGTTGATGGGGTTGATGGGGTCAATGGGATCAAAATCAATGACAATAAAATATTTATCAATTTTTTTATTTATAAAACTTATTAAATTTAGATGCTATTAAAATTATTATATTTATAATTATAATTTTATCCAAGAATTTTAAACACATACAAGCTTCTACTGCATGATCTCCTAGTCTATTTCTTTTTTTACTAATTAACTTTCCTGACTTTGAAAAGGCTTGTTCACTTGGAACAGATGTAGCAGGCATACATAAATAATCCCTTGCTACCTTTGATAAAATTGGGTATTGTAATCGATGATGTTTCCACCATTCACAAGGATTTATATTGGTTGGTTCAACATTAATTGTTAAGAATTCTTCAATTTCATTAACTGATGACAAATTATTATTTTTTAATTTTTTTGTTAGCATTTGTTCAATTATTCCTGCTGGTTTTCTTTTATTTGTATCTTGTGCGATAATTTCAATGTCAGCTGACAATGAGAAAGATTATTCTCTATCTTTATATAAATCGAATATGTTACTAATTAATTCTTTTAATGTTTCAATATTTGCAGAATTTGGAAGGATTTGCATTTTGTATCTAGGATCTAATATTAAAGCCAAATAAGCTGTTGGATTATAAAGATTTTCTGATATAGAATTAAATTTTGTAATCATTGCTTCAGCAATATCTTTAATCCAATTTGGTGTATTTCTAAAATTATAAATTTCATTTAAGTGTTCTGATAAATGATCTAATAAAAGAATCAATGTTCCTGATGTTGGATATGTACTTCCAGACATTACTTCAGTGAATTCAAAAAATGGTTTTAAAAAATCACAAAATTCTTGAATTTCTTTCCATTCATTTTCGTTTAAATTTAATTTGAAAATATTGTTATTTACTGCTATTAAAGATGTAATTATTGGTTTATTTACAAGAAATTATTCAAGCATCAAATATGTGCTGTTCCATCTTGTTTTTACATCTCTAGTTAATTTTCTATAATTAATTGCAAATTGTAATAATTCTTGTTCTTTTTTTGGAGATTTTTGTACTTGTCAATAATTTTTTTGAATTTGCTAATTCCAGCATTTACAACAAGAGCTATTGTATGAGCACCACATCTGATTGTATTAAAATTTACATATGGGGGCTGTTCTAGGAAAAAGTGGGTTTCGACCCTCAGATTCAAAAATGAGATATTTATACCAAATTAATC